GTGTCTTTGTTGAGCTTCTTTCTGGATATTCTGCACTTCACTGAAAGTGGCGTGTTGAAGTTTCCTGCTACTGTTGTGGAGCTGTCTCTCTCTTCAGAGCTGTTAGAGTTTGTTTTATGTATTTTGGAGCCCTGTCATTGGGTGCATAGATGTTTATTATGGTTATGTCTTCATGGTGGATCATCCCCTTAATCATTGTATAGTGTCCTTCTTTGTTTTTTATGGTGGATTCTGTTTTAAAGTCTATTTTTTCTGAGATTAGTATTGCCATTCCTGCTCTTTTTTGGTAGTTGTTAGCTTGATATATTTTTTTCCAACCTTTGATTTTTAATAAATTCATGTCTTCTTTTCTAAGGTGTGTCTCTTGTAGAGAGAATATTGATGGATCCTGTTTTTTTTTAATCCATTCTGTCACTCTTTATGACTGCATTTAGGTCATTTACATTCAGTGTAATTATTGATAGATGTAAGTTTATTGCTGTCATTTTGTAGTGTTTTTTGTTTTTGTGGTGCTGACATTTTCTTTGTTCCTCTTACTCTCCTGTGCTGAATTCCTTTTGTTTGTGGATTTTTTTTTCGTTTCCTTTGTTTTTGTCGGTTTTGTTTTTACTGAGACTTTATGTTTTTTGTCTTTATTTTTATGAGTGTGTTTGTTAACTTTCTTTGTGGTAACCATGAAATTTACCCTTATCTTTCTAAGTTTGAAGCAGTCCATTATTACTTGGTATCACCTTGCCTTCCTCTCCATTAGAAGGTTCTATACCTACACCGTTTATTCCCTCTTTTATTGTTCTGATGTTGTTGTCATTAAGAGATTAACTATTCTGATTCCCTGTTGTATTTATTTTGGTTTTGGATAGTCCTTTAGAGTTCATTTCCTAGGTTGGTATCTGGCTGGTATGATCCTGCATCCTAGATTCAGCCTGTGAGCTGAAGGTGTTTGCTCTCGGATTGAAGGACTCCCTTTAATAATTCTTTGAGTTTGGTTTGGTTTTTACATATTCCCTTAATTTCTGTTTATCTGGAAATGTCCAATTTCACTGTCAGATTGGAATGAGAGTTTTGCAGGATGTATTACTTCTGGCTCGCAGTTTTTTTCTTTCGGGGTTTTATGTATGTCATCCCGTTGCCTTCTTGCCTGCATGGTTTCTGCCAAATAATCTGAGCTTAGTCTTATTGTTTCTCCTCTGTATGTGACTTCTTGTTTTTCACGAGTTGCTCTCAGGATTCTTTGTTTGTCTTTGGTTTTGGCAAGTGCGATTATGATATGCCTTGGTGATTTTCTTCTGGCCTCTATCCTGTATGGGGTTCGTTGAGCCTCTTGGATGGCCAGCTTTTCATCTTTCATGATATTGGCGAAGTTTTCAATCAGTAGTTCTTCAGTGATCCTCTCTGTGTTTTCTGTTTTCTCCCCCTGTTGTGGATCTTTGCTCACTCCAAAATTTTTGCTTTTGATTTTAGCCCACATAATTCTCAGGGTCTCTTCATTTTTCTTTGTTCCTTTTTTCAGAGTTTTCCTACGAGCAGAGTTGTATCCAAGTGTTTTGTCTACATTTGCGCTGATTCTGTCTTCCATCATTTCAAATCTGCTCCTCAGCCCTTCTATGACACTGCCCATTTCTGAAATCTTGTTGTTTTTCTTTTGGATTTCTAATTGTTGTTTTTGTATAATTTCTAGTTGTGAATTTATTTTGACATTTTGTTCCTGCATTATCTTCCTGAATTCTTCCATTTCTTTGTCTGTATATTCCATGAATTTGTGGGCCTTTTCCATGAATTTGTCTATTTTTTTCCTCATTTTTGTCTGCTTTTTGCTTCAACTCTTGGATAATTCTGAGTATTAGAGATTTGAATTCCCTATCTGGTAGTTCTAGTGCCTTTTCTTCTACCGGAAAGTCACCTGGTGTTTTGTTTTGGATGCCTGCTAGAACCATCCTGTCCTGTTTTTGTAAATGGTTTGATATTGTCTGCTGTCTTTGGGGCATTCAGTAGTTATTTGTCTTGTTTATTGATTGTAGATTTGTTTCATCCTGGTTTTTTTTTTTTTTTTTAAATTTGGCTACGTCTGAACAGGCAGGCTGTGTGTTCTTTGTTGTTTCCTCGTCTGTGGGCACGATACTTTTCACCTACTTCTCCAATTCGCAGGGTCAGTTGCTCAGATATGGTACAGCAGGGAAGGTGTAGCTGAAGAGGAGTTGCTGGCATGGGTGGTTTGTGGCACTTTTTACAGCCACCAGGGCGGGCCAGTAATCAGTGCAGGGCAGGTTCCAGTAGGCTGTGCCTGTATTGCTTGGTGGTGTGATGTTAAGTGCATGGTGCAGGTAGGCAGGATGGAGGGGGGAGATTGTGATGTGTGGAGGTAAGGTGGGTATGGGAGGGAGGAGAGAGGAACAGGAGCCAAAAACATACAAACAAGCGAAAAAGGGTACTAGGGGAACTTGCTATTGGAGTGGAGAGATGAGAGACTATGAAATAGAGAAAAACAAAAATGGGAAGAAGAAAAGAAAAGAAAGTAATGAATAAATATAAAAAAGAAAAAAGAAAAGAAAAGCTCCCAGGGATCCTCCTGGTGCAGCTACGAGGTCTGGGGAAGTTGTTCCCAGGTGTTGAAGTACAGCCTGGCTAGAAGGCATAGAGGTGTCACTCAGCGCCAGGTACTCGGAACAGGAAGAGAGGGAAGGTATAGAGAGATGAGAAAGTGAGTAATGAAGAAAGACAAAAATGGAAAAAGAGGGAAGAGAAAACAAAACTAAAAAGAAAGAATAAGAATCCCCCCCCCAAAAAAAAACCCACAAAAAGAGAGATGTCCTGAGGGATCCCTCTGTGTGTCTGCACAAGCTGAGGGGGTAGGTTCCGAGCCACGCAGCACTGACCAGCTAGAACGGGCCTCCAATTCGAGAAATGAAAAAGAAAACAATTCAAAACAAACGAAAAAGCCCCGGGATCCCACCAGCGTGGCAGCAGGGACCAGGAAGCAGTTTCATATTCGAGCGGAGTTTCACAGCCTTTCAGGAAGAAGCAGAGATGGCTCATGGAGCCAGGTATTTGAGTGAAAGGAAGGGGAGGTGGTGTGAGGTGAGGAAGAAATCAAAAGAAGCAGAAAAAAGCAACACCAGCAGCCAACAAATGGCACTCTGGGAATCAGACAGTGCGGGCGGGTGGAATCCAAGCAGCTGGTGCTTCCTGGCCAAGAGACTGTGTCCGTGGGAAGCAGAGGAGGCCGGTGGGGGTGAAGAAGGGTGGGGGTGGGAAAGTGTATATTGCTGGTTACCGATTATTCTGTCTCTTGCTGGAAGCTCCGTGAAGCTGCTTTCTCGTACCCCCTATTTGCTGGTCTCTGATAGGAGTCCAAGATGGCAGATCCGTGCTGCATTAGCTGGTAGGGGACCTCTGCATGTATGTTTCCTCGCTCTCTGTTCTCTGTCAGTTCCTTATTCCATTTGGTGCTTGGCTGACTTCTTTATCTCTCCATTTGATGCTTAGGGTTTCAGGATTCCTGTTTTCTGTGTTTGGCTTAGTTTTTTGGATCTTTGCTGTGGGGGACAGCGTGGTGCTTCTGTTTAGAGCGCCACATTGCCCGAAGTCGTTAATGTTTTGATTTTTGAAAAATTGAATAATTTATTATTGTTGATTTTTTTTAGTGATACAAATGTTGTTATAGGTATTAATTTTGTAATGTTTTCAATTCTAATATTCAGTGTGATAAGTGGAATTTCTATGGAAGATACGGCTTATAGATATAGCATAAGCTCTGGAATGAGCATAATTTGATGAGGTATAATATATTTTTCTATAGAATGGACTTATTACATGCTGTTTATTACATTGAGCATTTATTGAATGAATGAATACTGAGTGAAATGTACTTTATATGTCCTTAGGTTTGGAAGGTTTCTCAAAGTATGATGCCAAACCTATTACTGAATTATGTTGCACGTACAGAACCATGTTTTAATGGGTGATTTAAAGAATTGTAAAGGATAATTTTAATTATACACTATTTGAGTTGTATGCTGACTTTAGAACATGACCTGACTAAGATGCATTTCCACTGTCCATCATATTTTCTGATAAAGGGTGCTCGGTTAGCTGAAGGAGCCCATGTGCAGCTCGGTCTGATTCTTACTAGTGTTCTGAGAAAACTGATAGGAAACATAATTATTGGCTCCAGTTTTTATTGAATTCCAGAGAGATTGTCACATAGTTGATAATTTGTAGAAGGGAAACAAGACAAAGTCTTTTGTTGCCAATTCCCAATACTCTTTTTGCTCTAGTGTTCTGTTTCCCAGTAAGTGCAAAAGATAAAACACAATTCAAGACCAATTATAATTTTTGATTGTCTGCATAATTAAATCTGTGTTATCATGTGTTGATAGTGACTAGGTATGTCTATTTAAAAATAGCAGACATTTTGAAATTTATCACTAGATATCAAAATTTGGATGCGAATCAGAATGTTGTCCTCCCGCACATCATCACAGCAACATTTGTGAAAGGTAGACATTTTCTGTAATTGAAATGTTAGTAGCATTTTACTAACTTTTGGAAGAGAAGTAATGTTTCACTGAAATTCCATTAAAATGTGATTGGAAACAATAACTAACATTAATTTTATCTTTTTCTAGTGTGCTAAAACGTTTATAAATCTGATGACTCATATCTCCAAAGAACAGACAGTTCAGTACATTCTTACTATGGTTGATGATATGCTGCAGGTGGGTATATTCTTCATCTTTTTGTGTACTTCACGGTGACATGTTTGTAAGGTTTCACTTACCAAAACCAAAAAACCCATTGATATGAAGTCGATTCTGACTCTTAGCAACCCTATGGAATACAGTGGAACTGCCCCATAGGGTTTCCAAGGCTGTAATCTTTACAGAAGCAGACTGCCACATCTTTCTCCTGCAGAGTGGCTAGTAGGTTTGAACGGCTGACCTTTTGGTTAGCAGCTGAGTGTCTAACCACTGCACCACCAGTGCTCCGTTTCACTCGCAGCATTGCTTGTTTTTTTCTAGAGTGTAATAATATATTTTTTTCTTAATTAAGTGAATTTTAATTTGGTAATAGTGCTAAAGGTGGAATGCCCATATACAGATTATTTTATGTTGTTTTTCAGGAAAGGAGCCCTGGTTGCACAGTGGTTAAGCACTTGGCTGCTAACAGAAGGGTCGGCAGTCTGAACCCACTAGCCGCTCCGTAGGAGAAAGATGTGGCAATCTGCTGCTGTAAAGATTACAGCCTTGGAAATCCCATGGGGCAGTTCTAATCTGTCCTGTAGGGTCACTGAGGCAGAATCAAGTCAGCCGCAGTGGGTTTGGTTTGGTTTGGGGTTTTTCAGGATGTCAAGTAATCAATATATATTTTTTCCCAAGATACCTCAGAGTTCTTTGTTGAGCACCAGTCATGTTTGGTGAATCACGTGAGGCTTTCTGGAAGCTCTCCAGATCTACAGATGATGTGACTCCCCCTACTTCAGTCATTCAACAGATTTCAGTGCCCATATGTGCCAGGCCTGTGCCAGGCACTGGAGCTTCAGTGCTGAATGTAGGCAAGGTTCTTGTCCTCAGAAGCACTATCTTTTTTGGAAATAGCTTTGATAATCATCTGAAATTTTTCCAGTGGCATAAAGTTTGTGTTTACTGCTTTACTGTCCCTGAATGCAGAGTCTTCCTATATTCACAGTTTTGTTTTCTACCCCAGAGTATAATTGAAGCTCAAGTTTTTGGTATATAGATCAGTTCTTTTTTTTTTCTCCTTTTTTAAAATTGTAGTTTAGATGAAGGTTTATAGAACAAACTAGCTTCTCATTAAACAGTACACATGTTGTTTTATGACATTGGTTAACAACCCCAGGACATGTCAGTACTCTTTTTTGACCTTGGGTTCCCTATTACCATCTTTCCTGTCCCCTCTTGCCTTCTAGTCCTTGCCCCTGGGCTTATGTGCCCCTTTAGTCTCGTTTTGTTTTATGGGCCTATCTAATCTTTGGCTGAAGGGTGAACCTCAGGAGTGACTTCAGTACTGAGCTAAAAGGGTACCTAGGGGCCATACTTTCAGAGTTTCTCCAGTCTCTGTCAGGCCAGTAAGTCTGGTCTTTTTTTGTGAGTTAGAATTTTGTTCTACATTTTTCTCCAGTTCTGTCTGGGACTCTCTCTTGTGATCCCTGTCAGAGCAGTCAGTGGTGGTAGCTGGGCACCATCTAGTTGTGCTACCACAAGTGGGTGGGGCTTTAACAAACAGAAATTTAGTTTCTCACAGTTCAGGAGACCAGAAGTCCGAATTCAGGACACTGGCTCTAGGAGAAGGCTTTCTTTCTGTTCGCTCTAAGGGAAAATCCTTGTCTCAGTTTCTCTAGCATTCTTGTTGTTCCTCAGCAATCTCCTTGTGGCATCTATCGTTTCCTCATTCTTGCTTCCTTGTGCTTAACCTGCTCTTTTTATATCTCAGAAGTGAGTAGGTTTAAAGACAGACCCTACACTAATATGGCCTCATTAGCATAATAAAACTCTGTTCCTAAATGGGATTACATCCACAGGTATCAGGGTTAGGATTCCAGCCCATATTTTTAGGGGGGACACAATTCAATCTGTAACACCAACTGTGTGCCAAGCACTGTGCTAACTATTGGGGGTACCAAAGTGAGGAAGAATGGTGCTGTCTACCCAGGGTCCATCGTATCATTTATAGGAATGTAGTGATTGTATAGTGTGAGTGAAGGTTCAGTATCAAGCCTGGGCTGATGCAGGCCTGTCAAGAATGACCTTGGTCTCTCTCAGCACTTTTTCTTTTAAAACAGTAGAGTTAAGATAAATGGGGAATGTCATGCCTTGGCTAAGGAGCCCTGGTGGCAGAAACTGTTAAGCACTTTAAAAGTTGGTGGTTCAAACCCACCTAGTGGCTCAGCAGGAGAAAGACCTGGCAATCTGTGTCCATAAAGATTGGAGTCAAGAAAACCCTATGGAGCAGTTCTTCTCTGCCACCTGGGGTCACTATGAGTTGGAACTGACCCCATGGCAGCTAACAACAAGAGGTATAGTCTCTTGCATTTTGCTGTTTCACATATCAGTTCATATAACCCAACCCAACCCATTGCTGTCGAGTCGATTCTGATTCTTAGCGACCTCATAGGACAGAGTGGAACTGCCCCGTAGGGTTTCCAAGGAGCAGCTGGTGGATTTGAACTGCTGACCTCTTGGTTAGCAGCCGAGCTCTTAGCTGCTGTGCTACCAGACCTCCTCAGATCATATAAATCTCCCATATTCCTTTTTTTCACAGCTACGCAGTACTCTATTGGTGGATGTACCCTAATTTACTTAATCAGGCTCCTGTGTAATGGCCAATGAGGTTGATTCTGGTATTTTCAGTTTTAAATAATGATGCAAAGAATAACCTTGTGCGAATGTATTTTTGTTTTTTTGGGAGGGTACTTCATGGTGAATTCCTAGAAATAGGATTGCTGGGGAAAAGGGAACTACATGTAGTTTTGTTAAGATATTGCCAGGTCTTCTATTTTGCATTCCCACCAATGTAGGAGAGTGCCTGTGTCCTTGTAACCTTGCCAGTAGAGGGCGTTGTCAAGCTTTTTAATTTTTGCTAATCTAATAGATGAGAAATGGTATCTGAAGTTGAACATCTTTTCATATGTTTAAGGGCCACTTTTATATCTTTTTATTTTTTTCTGAATTGTTTGCTCATTTTTTTTGCCCTTCTTTTTAGGTTTTTAGTCTTTTCTTTCCCCCATATTTAAGAATCTTTATACACTAGGGATATAGCTGTGATAATTATTTCAGACGTTTTCTCCCAGTTTGTCATTTGGCTTTGCTTATGGTGGTTTTTGTATGGCAAAAAATATATATATATGTATTTATTTTTAAATATTCTTAATTTATCATTTTTTAAAATTGGGATTTTGAGTCATAGTTTTTCCCTTTCATTGTTGTGTGTCTTTGAGTCAATTCCAACTCATAGCAACAGTATAGGACAGGGTGGAACTGCCCCACAGGGTTTTCTAGGCTGTAATCTTTACAGGAGCAGATTGCCAGGTCTTCTTCCCCGTGAAAGGCTGGTGGTTCGAAACCCCGACCTTTCCGTTAGCAACCGTGCTCTTAACCATTGTGCCTCCAGGGCTCTTAGTTTTTCCCTACAGCTAGATTATAGTGGAATTTACCCATGTTTTCTTCTAGTATTTACATAGTTTCATTTTTTACATTTAGATATTTAATCCATTTGGAGTTGATTCTTCTGTATGGTATAAGGTATGTGTCTAATTTTATGTTTTCCAAACAGCCATTCAGTTGTGCTGTTATTGTTAGATGCTGTTGAGTCCATTCAGACCCATAGCAGCCCAGTGTCCTAGCACCATTTATTAAAAAGTCAATCTTTGTCCCAGTGGTTTGAGATGCTGCCTTTAACATTAAATTTCTGTATGAACCTGGGTTTATTTCTGGACATGTACACACAGTTTTAATTATAAAGGCTATTAAGACTAGTCCCCTTTGTAGCTTTTTTTCCTCTTTCTTTTCAGTATTTTTGTAGCTATTCTTCCATGCTTCTTTTTCCATGTGAAATTGAGCATCAACTTGTCTGGGTGTATGAGTTGGTTGCATTTTAACTGAAGATTGTGTTAAATTTTTTAATTAGGGGGAAATGACATAATGATAATAAATTTTCGTATCCAGGAACAAAGAGTGTCTTTCCATTTGTTTAAGTATATGTCTTTTTCAGGAGTGTTTTAAGGTTTTCTTCATAAAGGCTTTGCATATTTCTTGTTAAATTTATGCCTAAATATTTTATCGTCTTTATTACTATTATAAATGGAGTTTTCTTTCATTGTATCTTTGAATTGTTTTGTGTACACAAAAGCTTGATCTCTGTATATTAATTTTATAGTCTAGTACCTTATTGAATTCTTGTTTGAATTTTATGATTGATTTTCCTTTTTCTTAATGTACAATTTGCAAATAAGAAATGCTTTTACTTCTTTCCCAATTCTTATGTGTCTGATTAATTCTTCTTTTCTGTTTGTGTTGGCTGTACCTCCAGTATAATGTTAAGTAGTAATAAAGAAAGATAGTGGGCATCCTTGCTGTTTTAGTTAGTGCTGCTGTAACAAAAATACCACAAATACGTGGAATTTATTGTCTCACAGTTTTGGAGGCCAGAAATCTATGCTCTGTTAGCTACTTAGTTTTTCCATCTCTTTGAAGAATGTTGTTGATATTGGGATCGGGATTGCATTGTATTTGTAAATTGCTTTGGGTAGAATTGTCATTTTCACAATGTTGAGTCTACCTATCCATGAGCATGGTATGTTTTTCCATTTATGTAGATCCCTTAGGGTTTCTTGCAGTAGTATTTTGTAGTTGTCTTTGTATAGGTCTTTTACATCCCTGGTTAGATTTATTCCTAAGTATTTTATTTTTTTAGGGACTATTATAAATGGTATTGTTTTCCTGATTTCCTTTTCATTGTTCTCTTTATTGTTGGTAATTGTACATTTTTAATGCCCCCTTTTCCCTACTCTATTCATTAATAATTTGGTTTGTCAGTTTTTAATGATATCTTTGACTTCTAACAATCAATGAGATTATGGTACTTCCTTGTTTTTCTCTCTTCTTTTTCTTTTAGTTTCATGTTTATATTTTTTACTTTGTCAGAATATATAACATTTATATATTACTTCTTCAGTACTTGTCCCCAACTTTGTTTTATTATATCACATTTTCCCCATTGGTCCTTTTGCTGGAGTTTTCCCAGGAGTCTTTTGGTTGTAGATTCTCCAAGGAGGGTTTCCGGGTATGGTGTTCTCTAAATTTTGCATTTAAATTTTTCTTCTATAGCCTTCATACCTGAAGGACAGTTTGACTGATGGAGAATCCTTGGTTCAAAATTCTTTGAGTTGCTTTTGAGTCTGTTCTATCTTGGACACCTTAGAATTTATTTAGTCTTAATTTTTGAGACCATTTTGTTCTTTTCTTTCATTCCTGAGTTCAACCAACTCTTAATTTTTTCCGTTTTTTAGGGACAGTTTTTCAGTTTTGTTTTTCAATTTCTGATTCAGGGAGGTTTTTCATGTTCCCAAGTGTGTGTTTGAAGACATTTAATTCACTTTGGAGTGTCGTGTTCCAGTTTTCTTTTGCTTCATGTGTTTTTTTTTTCTTTTTTTTTGGGAGGGAAAATTGATCAGCTGAGATATTTTGATTTGCATCTTCTGGTTTCTTCTTACAGTAACTTCTTAGGCTGCTTCTGTCTATTCATGTCATGAGTTGGGAGTGGTTTACAAGATTCATAGCACAGGAGCACGTAGTGAGGTACAGTTTCTCGAATGGATGACTCTTTTTTTAATGGGGAGTGGATTAGGTACCCTTTGATATTTTTGGTTCTCTTTTGCCCTGGAGGGCCCTAACTTTCCCTCTTTTGTTTCTTTTTCTCTTCACCAGCTGGTCTCCAAAAGATGCTTCTCACTTTCTTTTTACCTTTGTTTCTCAAAAGTGATGCCTTGCTCCCCATTGTCAGTGCCCTGATCTACTAGGAGTCTTTGTTGGTTCTTTCATACTTAGGATTTACTTCATTTTCAGTCGATACAGGGTCTCTTCCTGGGCCATATCCTTCCATCCATGCAGATTTTCCAGACTGACCATGCTGTCCACAAAAGCATGAGGTGGGAGCATGAGAGAGAGCTTTGTTGGGATACAGTGTTTATTTTTCTCTTTGCAGAGAATTGGGAGATTGTATTCTCTGTCTTCTATTCCGAGGGCCTGGGTTTTGTGTAGTTTTATCTGTTCCTCTTGTTGACCTGTATTGTCAATGAAGGATGTGTGGAGAGATACAAAGTTAGGTAGCTGCCATTATTCTCAGCTATCAATTCAATATATTTTAATGATTGATTTTGTTTATAAATAGGGTCTCTGTGAGTTGGAATCGACTTGGCAGCAACGGGTTTGAATTGGGGTTATCGAGAAATTTGTACACACCTTTATCATTTGATTCTTTGTACTATTAAAAAATACTGTGATTTTACTTTTCCCAAGTTTAATCCAATCATTTCATTCTTATCACTTCTGAATAGAATATTTTTGGACAGATTTGCTTATTTTTCTCACGTGTTTACTTTTTAGTACATAATTTTGAACATTTATTGTTTTCTGTGTCAGGATACTAACAGCAGTTGCTTAGTTCCTGTAACTAGAAGGGCTTTATTTATATTCTTTTAAAGGTTTGAAACCTGGGTGCTGGGAGAATGGTGGCTGGAGGTGTTCCATCCATTGCACTCTTCATGAGGAATGGAAATCACCACTAGTTGAGAAGATGGGTTTTAAATTTATACAAAATGTCTTATGAAATAGTTTTCTGAACTTTTTCTATATAGGATAGTTTGTTCATTTACATTACAATGAGAAATACAGCTTTCACTTTGGAAATAATCCACCAGTGGAGTAATGATGACCTGCCTGAATTTTGGGTCCTTTGATTAAGTCATTATCATAATTATTATCGTAACCATATAACTATTCATTACTTAAGTAGATGGTAGTCTTTTCCTCAAGTAGGTAACTGTAAGATTCAATTTTGGTTTAAAAATGAAAATTATTGTTTGTGTGGTTATTTGAGCTTTTAGCAAATGTTGCCATTTAGCAAATATACTCTTGTAATGAACCAGAAAGTAGAGAAAATTTAAGTGAGAGGTGAAGTTTGCATGATTTCAAAGAATTCACTCTTCCTCAAATCCTATATCCAGCTGCTGGTGTGTTATGCTGTTTTTTTGCTGTCTTTACCTGCCCTCGATTTTTCTATCATGACATGCTAGGAGTAACCTTGACACTTGATGCTTTTCTAATCCCGTTTCCCTTCCCTGCTTATAAGTAGTTTGAGGTGCTTCCTGCTTATCCTTCTATCCAGAGTTCATTTGTGATGTTTCTGCCCCTCCTGATTTCTTTGTGTGGAGTCAGGGTGCTCACCCTCCATCAACACAACAGTACTGAGACAGGCAGGTCAGAGGTGCAGGCAGAGAAGAGGTCACTCACAGTCCTACACCTTGCCGGGCTGGGGTTTCTGTCCTGTCTTAATTGATTTAAAATCATCAGACTAATTAAAGGCAGACTTAAAATGTCTACCCTCTCCTCCACCACATAGTAATAATAACAGAGAAAAATCACGCACATTGGGGAAAAAAAGATACTGACTTAAATGGGACTTAAAATGAAAGGTTGAGAAGCAATACACAATTGTTACATTCTTTAGTTAAATTCATTCTGATTAATGATACCATTTCTTTTCTTTTTTAGGAAAATCACCAGCGTGTAAGCATTTTCTTCGACTATGCAAAACGTAGCAAGAACACTGCCTGGTCCTACTTTCTGCCAATGCTGAATCGCCAGGATCTCTTTACTGTTCATATGGTAAATTCTGAATTGATCACATTTCTAATTTAGAGAAAAAATAGACCTGGGGCATTTATGACTTAGTAACCTCTCAGTGGAGTCCTGGTGGTGAGTGGTTAAGAGTTAGGGCTGCTAACCAAAAGGTTGGCAGTTCGAATCCACCAGCTGCTCCTTGGAAACCCTGTGGTAGAACCCAGTTCTACTCTGTCCTATAGGGTTGCTATGAGTCAGAATGGACTTGATGGCAATGGAATCTTTCAGTTCCTAGAGAAGTAACTGCTGCCACGTTTATTTTTAGAAGCAGTGTTTCCTTATTGGTGTTTAGTAAGGTGATATTGGGATGTCAAAATGAGATAGGATTGTTCTGATATACTTAGAAAGTTTTGCAGACCATATGATGAGTTCATTAGCGTAAAACCTCTGGTAAATTCACATGTGTAAAAGCTCTAGATTCTCTATGACAGGATTAACTACAATTTACTGTGTAGAAATTGAAATTTACTTTGCAGCTGCTGTGTTTAATTAATCACTTTTTAAATATCTTAAACACACTGCTGTTTTAAATTTAGCCTGAAGGGCTGTCTTTGGAAGCCAAAACATTGAAAAATCTTTTATGGAGCTGGGAGAATGTTTGAAAGGAGGATTGAGAGAATACACCTTTGTACAGGCACTTATTTTATTCCCAGTGGGAGTGGGCTGCAGGTGGGGAGCTTCAAGGCTGCTCATTTCAGTAGGTGTCTCTCCGTGTTTTATGTTAAGAACCACTGCCGGTGAGGCGTTTGTCAGTATGCGCTTCCTCACACACACGCTCTCTCTCGCTCTGCCTGTATTCATTTATGTACCAGTCTTGTCACATTGTATACATTATAAAACATTTATAAAGAAAGAAAGAAAAAAGGAGGATTCATAAAATTCACTATAGTTTAAAAAACAGTTTTTAAAAATCAGTAATACATTTTCTTCTTTCAGATTGTAGAGGCTGGTTTTCACTTTCTGGATGCCTGGTTTTAAATGTCTTGCTAATTTTGATGGTTTTATAATGTAATTGATATATATATATAGTACGTTTGATGAAGGTTTATAGAGCAGACTAGTTTCTCATTAAACAATTAATACACATATTGTTTTGTGATATTGATTGCCAACCCTATGACATGTCAACACTCTCCGCTTCTTGAACTTGGGTTCCCGGTTACCAGCTTTCCTGTCCCCTCCTGCCTTCTCTTCCTTGCTCCTGGGCTGGTGTGCCCATTTAGTGTCGTTTTGTTTTATGGGCCTGTGTAGTCTTTGGCTAAAGGGTGAACCTCAGGAGTGACTTCAGCACTGAGCTATAAGGGTCTCCGGGGGCCATACTCTTGGGGTAATTGAGGAATATATTAAAGAGCAAATATACGGTTAGGGAAAGTTCATCTTTTTTTGGTGTGGATATCAATTTTTTTTTTTGTTTATTTTGGTGGAAATATATATAAGAAAACGTTTGCCATTTCAACACTTTTTATGTGTACAATTCAGTGACATTAATTACATTCATCTTGTTTTGCAGCCGTCATCACTATCTGTTTCCAGATTTTTCCATTACCCTTAGCAGAAACTCACTGTCTCCTAAGCAATGATTCTATCTTTCCCCCTCATAATTATTAATTGCGTCACCAAATCCATGTTTTAACTTCTTGGAGATTTCAGTTATTTTTGGCTAATCTTTGAAATGTTAGGGTCAGGCTGTTATTGGTTTACCTTGTAATGTGCCGATGAAGAGCTTATGCGAGGAGTAGAAGTGTCAGGTTTCTTATTACTTTGTCTTTTTCTTTTTACTTGTATTTATACTGCTTATAATATTTCATTCCTTGCTTCGTTTAGACCAGTTAAATCTATATAGTGTAAATTCACTTAGCTGGTCCAGGTGCCCTGCTGCCCCTCCACATTGTAATTTCCAAGTATACCCCAACACTCGAGTGTCTGCTGCACTGGGCTTGGACATGTGCCTCTGTCAGCCTGGCTAAGCTGTATTCAGATGTCAGAACAAACACTAGTCCACTGCCACAGTCTTCCACTCTTTTGGGATTAATTATTGCTGAAAAATTTTGGGGTTTTAGAATAGTGACTTGCTTACAGAGAATACTGAAAGAATCTTTATTAAATTGGGGTTTATGTGTGGGGAATTAGTGTGTATACTGCCTGTTTAATGAAAACTAATAATGATCAGTTTTATAGCTTGAATAAAATTGAAAATCATTGACTGAGGAGGAAGAGTACTTGTTTACGTAGTGAGAGGTGGCTATTTAATACCAATGTATATATTACACCAAGATAAGGATGAGAACTGACAAGAGGCTTGGAAGGAGCGAGGTAGTGGCTAGGAATCTGTCGCAGAGATTTCTCGGAACTGTGGCAAGTGATTTGGTGAAAGTCTGCCCCTAAGAAAGATTTTTTTATTGTTCTTCTGTCTTTTGCTGGTCTTATAATGAATCCTAATCTTATTCCAAAACACAAAATAATATAGGGAATGTCATGAAATTCTTGAAATAACTAATTTTGATTTACTTTAATTGAAACATTTAAAAATTCATTTTGAATATTTATATATTTGTGTATGTACTTATATTTCAAATATATTATTTAAAATGAAATATAAATTGTTATTTTTGGAGGAGGTGAAAGTTACAAAAATCATATACCAAAACGGTTATGAGTCTTGGTTTTTTAAGGTGTATGATATGATCTTTGAATCAGTACAGTCTTCAGATGGATTTCTTATTTGTTTTTAGGCAGCAAGAATTATTGCCAAATTAGCAGCATGGGGAAAAGAACTGATGGAAGGCAGTGACTTAAATTACTATTTCAACTGGATAAAAACTCAGCTGAGTTCACAGGTAAAAGAAATTTCTTTTAGTATCTTTGAAAGGAACATAATATCCATGTTCTCGTAAGCTATTCGTGGCAAATACATTAAATTATAAAAAGTTAAAATAATGCCATTTTGAACCTGATAAATAAACCAAACTGCTCTTAAATTTGGTAGCGTACTTCACCTTTTCTCTCTTTGACTGGATTCAATTCAAACCTTCCTGTCTTTTCTGCTCCTTGGGGACTTCCCACTCATAGTCTTCAGTGGCCAGGTAGTGTCTTCATTCTTTGTGGCTGCCACGATCACACAGGTTGGAACATTGAAAAGAACTCACAAAACTCCAGAGTGTACCCTCATGTAAGGCTTTTAATGAAGGCCAAAGAAACTCTTGGGCAGGGGAAAGAGTGCAGGCAAGAGCAGGTGAGAGGCTTCTAGCCACAGCTCCCAGCCAGCCTCAGGATTGTGGACCACCAGGATTTGTGTGAGAAATCATGGTTTGGGGAGAACTTCTAAAGGTTTCTGGTGGGGTCTCTTATCCCCTCTGGTCACATAACCAGGCCAGGCAGTGTGTCCAGTTACACCAGTAAACACACTGGCCCTGGGTGTTGCCAGGGGAGTTTCGAGCTGTCAACTGCCCATCAGCAGTCATTATTGAATCCATTTGTCCTGGCCAGGAACCACTCCCAGACTTCAGGTGTCCCTGCGCTCGCTCAGAGTTGCCCAGGCCAGTGTAAAATAACTCTCTCCTAGGGACTCAGTGAGTTGACTGTTATCATTTTGGGATTGAACATTTAGAGCCTAAAGTGAAAACCTGTTTACTGGTCGTCTTGGTTGCTTTTGGGCCTCTCGACCTCTACTTCTCCGTGGAGAGAAATAGCTTAATTATTTAATGACTGGTAAAATGGCAAGTTTTCAGTGTTTGTCTTCATGCTTGCGTAGAATGGGGCAAAAGAGAGGGTACTTCTTGAGGCTCTGTGGAAAGTGCTTCTTTTGTTTGTGTTTCTAGTTATTAAGTGTTTGGTGGTAAAGGGAGAGTTGGTGGGAATGATCCTTCGGGAAAGAGTGAAGTAAAGGAGGTTTGGGAGTATTCTGGGGAAGGAAAGGTAAAAGAGAAGGAGATTTTGGTGTGGGGCTGGGTGACGCTGGGGTGAAATGGAGCAATGGGGCTAGGAGAAATAATATTGATAGTCATTGAGTTGTCAGCATTAGATTACAGGTAAATGTCTATTTGAAATAAAGTTTTGAAAAGTTATAATTTAGATTTTTGGTGACTTTATTGTTTTAATAGACTTTAATTTCAGGCATAAGAGAGAGATACCATGACATTTTGCTTATTGGATTTACTTTTGTCTTACCATTAATTGCCTTTTTTATTTTTTGGTGGGGAGGGGAGGCAGGGGAGCCTAATTACCTTGTGTATTCAGACAGGATATTTCAGAGAATCTTGAACAAAATTAAGTACATATTTTTTGACACCTGTAGAATTGATTTTAAAACATTTTTTGGCTTAGTTTTAAACATTATTTTTAGAAGAGCAACGAATTAGCAGATTTTACTGAATTTGTGATTTTTTAAAAAAAAATTGTTTAGAACATGAAAAATAGGTGTGTGAAAATGAGATTTTTAAGCTTGTAAATCATTTTAAGTTTGTATATCATTGGGACCAGAATGCTTAAATAGGTAGGTAGCCCGCCTCCCCTCTCTTTTTTTTCTTTTTGCTATTTTGAAATTACTTCTTCCTTTAAACAAAGTACGTTTGACTTTAATGGTAACACTGTGATATATTGGTAATGAGGCTTTTTTGTAGCTGAATTCACAAAATGAAAATTGGTAGGAAAGAATGTATACAGTATTTTACCGTTATCATTTTTGGTGATTTCACTTTAAACTTTTCCCCATAGGAATAGCATTTATATTGTGCCTCACAGATGATTTATCACTTTTAGATGAATACTGTGGCTGTAACCATGTCCACCATTTGGGGAAATTATTTTTGTTGTCACTACTGAAAACAGATATTTCAGTATCTAGACACTTTTGCTTCTTGGTAGTAGATAACTACTCTTAAAGGTGTTTTCTATATATTTCTAGTATATTCTTATGTCACTAAATCTTTGGCTTTATGAGTTTTGGTGTGGTAATTCTGCTTTGCAAGTTCTTCTGCTATAGGGTGACTTTTCAGGGTACTTAGCGGAAGTTCTGGCTTTGCTTCCACAGAGTCTGGCCACTGCTTCTGCTTGGCTCTGGCTAGGGCTGCCTCTCTTACTGTGAATAGACACTCCGTTCAAAGCATTTTACTAGGATTAAATTATAGATTCTTATTTAAAGAACATCAGGATATGATTACTTGGGATTTTATTTACTACTTTGCTCACATGTGCCGTGATGGTGCTATGTCTGGATGTTCTCTTTTTCTGTATCGTAAGTTTTCTCCTCATAAGAAGGACCACAATTTCATGATTCTGACAGAAATAAAGTTTCAAAAGTCCAAGTTAGTTGTAAGTTTGGATATTTTGTTCTTTGACTTTTTAGTGACATTTAGGAGCCTTTTTTGGTAGTTTAGAGCATTGTACTTGGGTTATAGAGGCCAATGGCTTGCACTCAGTTGACAGTATTTATTGAATAAAATAAATATTTTCTGTAAGAAATTCAGTATCACTTTTCTTCTGCATTTTCAGCCTCTGACTTTCTACCTTAAAATTTCTTTGTTATTTCTATATAACATTTGAGATTTTTGATTGTCATTATAACTTGTTGGCATTGCTATAGGTAGCTTAATTTCAGTACTATAGAGTATCTTCCCGTTGTTGTGTACCTGTTTCAAAAGCTTTGTCACAGAATATAGATGTGTAGATCACTGAATATAGATAGTTCAGCTTAAGGCAGTCGTCTTGTTAGAAAAATAATTCAGTGAGTAAGTCCTGAGACTTGGCGATTTAAACTCACTTCACTTATGAAATTTAGGTAGAGCTGGTATTTAGTTTTAGTATTGTTCCATTTTTAGTAATTTATTGATTAAGACATTACCTGGAAGAGTATAATGATATTTAGAACACTCTACATCATCCCCATGCTGTTTATGAGTTGATGACAGACTCTGTTAAGTAGGATTAGAAAAAAATTATAAACTAGCTGAGTTCCCTTTCCTAACCTGATAAAAATTAGGATAAAATTAAAAGCAAAACTAAGTAATAAGTTATTTATTTCATAATAGAAACTGCGTGGTAGCGGTGTCGCTGTTGAAACAGGAACAGTCTCTTCAAGTGATGTAAGTATATTCCTTCTTAATTCACTGGCCTCCTAACCCTCTGAATATAACCTATTTCGAGTCATAGATAGCTAGAATTTTTAAAGTCACAGATATCTAGAATTTTTAAAGTTTTTACTAGTTCCACAAATGCAAATCCGTGGATTTGATGTGTCACCTCCGGTTAGGTTAATTGTATTGCAAAGCTGTATGTAAATATTTATGGTCTGTGGTGATCACTTTTTCTGTTTGGTAGACATGAGACGTTGCTCCTCCCTTTTGCTCTTTTTTTGTTTCAGGCCACTTTATTTCAGGCCTGGGAATTAAAGCAAGAGTCTGAATTCAGTTGTATAGCTGGTGCTAATAATCTTAACGTTACTGTCTTCAGTAACAGACTTCAGTTGTCTGATAAAACTGTTTCATACTTGTCTAACAGATAGATGAACCATGTGTTAAACAGTGGAAAACAATGACATTACCCAATGGCACCAAAATTTATTGACTACCCTGTGTTGTTCAGGGCTTTATGTACGGCTGCATGGTGCCCAGAACAGGTTTTTTGGCCAGCCTCTCCCCACACTTTTGTAGAGCCAGAAGGTTAAAGGTTGAAACTAATCATGTCCCCCCAAGTCCCTTTCCTAGCTAGGGTTACCCGCCCCGTTTGAGAATGGTTTAACTTTGTTGTGCTGTAGGGATAGCTCAGGAACTGGCAATATGTTTGGTCAAGTAAGGGTTGCATGATTGGAGTCAACTGAGAAAAGGATAGGGAAAAAAGATAGAAGCACCTCGCTTCCTTTTAGATGCAGATATCTCTGGGAAACAGGAAAGATCTTAAGAGGGTAGTGTCTACATCCTGCCTGTAATTGACCTAATTGAAGCTCTGTAGAAGCCATCTAATGTCCATGTTAATTACTGACGCTTCCATAACCTGTATGGAACACACCTGTTTGTATATTGTAGGACTGTAGATGGCAGCAGGGTCCATTCTCAAAGCCAAGAGCTGGGCTTCTGTTGGGGCATGGGTTGAAGGGTTTGACAGTCTATTAGGACAGGAAATAGCTATTAGCTTTCTAAAGTGGAATTGGAACAAGGTGTTGAACTGGATGAGCAATCTTGGGGCTAGAGTGAGTGAGGGAGGTGGTATTACTATGTAAGTTAGAAGTCTGGATATTCAGTCATTAGCACATGTTTAAATTGGAAATCTTTATTTTGTATGACTTAAATTTCTACCAGTGTGAATTTTTGAAAAACTGTTTAGTTTGCGTATTTTAGGATTAGATAGATGTTTTAAAAAGTTTTCAGAATCATTTGTCATATAAACTTACTTAAATGGCTGTTAAATTATGTGTAAGTTACTAAAGCTTATATAATGAGGTTAAAGTTCTAACGACATGTTTTATTTTGATATTTTCTATCATTGTGTTGGAAAAAGAAAACTGATTAATTGAATTGGCAGTACATTTAGTCCAAGTAGTTAAGCTTGTAGACTTGTCCACATATGCCCCAAATGGAATTAGCATTAGGGGTAATTGTTAAGTAAGAAAAAGATGACTTTTGATTGCCCACCACTTTCTCTTTAGTGCCCCTAAACCTGAACATATTTTCTGTCTCTTCTTGAAGGTTTTTACTTTTTCATATGGCTGTCAGTTTGGAAAGGAATAAATAAATTGAGAGTAGAGTCTTAGCCCTTCCTTTCATATTTGTGTTTTAATAGGAGAATCTTAACCTGGCAGCTAATATGTATTGAGCACTTACTGTGTGCTTGGCATTGTTTTATTCATTTTACATGTATATGTCCTTTAGTACTCACACTCATTCTTTGAGGTGTGTCATACTGTTAGCTACATTTTATAGGTGAGCGAAGTGAGGCGATGCAGAGAGGAACACTGTCTTGTCCAAGGTCATACAGCTAATGAGTGGCAGAAACTCCAAAGGAATGAATTGCTTAGTGACAGAATTACTTCTGAAATGGCTTTAGTAGGATCTTTAGGCATCCCTAAGTCACATATATAGCCTCCTCAGACTTTTTGAAATTGCAGTTATCTCATCATCCCGTTGCCTTTGAGTGGATTCCTTAAAATCCTTAGGTTTTCAGAGCAGAGAAAAGCAGTTGGTAAACTGCATTACGTCACATTGTCACTTGATGTCAGTATAAAAGAAACACACAAAAAGTAGTTTTACACTACAAAATGAGAAGTAAGCATGATTCAACAGTCTTTTTTAAATGGCCGTAGAAGCATCATAATAAGTTATGAGTAGGTCATTGCAAACACTTTAATATTTGAATGACATTGCATAAAGGGAATTTCTTTAAAATGTGTTAGGTTGTTTTTATCTAAATATTAAATTAATAAACTGTGTCAGATTCTGTGTACTTCTTTAACTGTCCGGCTCCTTACCTACCAGTTCTTGGATGTGAACGTGAATTCTGTTCTCAGAGGCACTGGCATAGCTTTGGGAGTTGATTGTTGTGCTAATGCCCCGAAAGAGACCAGTGCTGTGATCTTTCACAGACTTGGGAGGGTCTAGAAGGAATCTAAGGAGCCCTGGTGGCACAGTGGTTAAAGAGCTTGCCTGCTTAACCAAAAGGTTGGTTGTTGGAACCACCGGTCACTCTGTGGGAGAAAGATGCGGAAGTCTGCTCCCATAAAGATTTACAGCCTCGGAAACTCTATGGGGGCAGTTCTGCTCTGTCTTATAGGGTCACTGTGAGTTGGAATCGACTCAATAGCAGTGAGTTTAGGAGGAATCTGGGAATTGTTTTCTTTCTTCTTTCCTCTGCCTTGCTTCATTTATGCATGTGTCTAGGAGAGCAAAATGACTCCTAGCGACAGCATTTGATTGTGTCTGGATCTTCGACTATATTTGTTGCAGATCCAATCTAGCTTAGTTACTGTGGGATGAACATTGCTTCATTGGTAGTAAATAATTTGGTTATGTTGTCAGATTCTCCTTATTGCTTATCTTGTCTCTTAATGCTCTGGAGCAGGGATGTCCGTTGGAACTTTCCATGATGGTGAGATGTTATGTATCTGCTGTATCCAGTGTGGTAGCCACTTAGCCACACGTGGCTGTTAAACACTTGGAAATGTGGCTAGTGCAAGTGAGGAAGTCAATTTTTAATTTTATTTAGTTTATTTTTTTAACAGCTTTACAGAGATATATTTCACATGCCATAAAATTCATCTGCTTACAGGTCAGCATCTTTTAATATATTCATAGAGTTGTGCAGCCATCACCACCATCTAATCTTATAACATTTTCGATACCTCATAAAGGAACCCTGTACACATTAAGCAGTCTCTGCATACCTACTACCCCCTCCCAACTCCTAACCTACTCTCTGTCTCTATGGATTTGCCTGTTGTGTTTATTTCACATGAAGGGAACCATACAATATGTGGTCTTTTGTGACTGGTGCAGTAGTTAAGAGCTTGGCTGGTAACCAAAAGGTCAACAGTTTGAATCCATCAGCCGCTCCTTAGAAACTCTGTGGGGCAGTTCTGCTCTGTACTATAGGGTCACTATGAGTCGGAATCGACTCGACGGCAGTGGGTTTGGTGTTTTGGTTTCTTTCACTTAGCATAATGTTGTCAAGGTTCACCCATGTTGTAGTACATAATAACAGCATTTTAGAATGAGAAACAGAGCTTGACTTTTTTGGCTTTTGGCCAAACTCCTTAAATTGTTTTCTGTGGTTGTTACTATAGGGTTGCTATGAGTCAGAAATCAGCTTGATGGCAGTGGGTTTGGTTTTGGTTTATGAGAATAGTTTTACTGCTTTGCCTTTGTTTGTAATTTAATACTATGCTGGTGTGACATTTTTCAGTCTTCCCTAAGGGATGGAGCGCTGCGTTGATTGAGTTCTTTACTACTTTGTTAATAAGTACATCACCAGTGCTTCCAAGTAACAGAAACCAGTGGGCCCTGTCAGTAGTTCACGTAGCACAGGCTCTCATTTAACTGTAGCCTGCTCTAGCTTATAAGTGGAACCCAGGTATGTGGGGACCAAGTCTGTGGGGACCCAGCGTGATTCAGATCAATTGCATGTCATTGTGTGCAAATTTCAAGAGTGTGATTATTTACCTGAAGCAGTGCTTGAATGGTCCCCATATTCCTTTGCTTTTTATCTCCTTACCACAAAATTAATACACTTAAGACATTGGGAATCATTAAAAGGTATAAACAGGGTGCATGTTAAAAAAAAAAGGGGGGGCAAAAGATGAATTTTGTTTTTCTGATCAGGTTTTTGGAAGGACTGTCTGGAAATATATTCTGGCAGTGCAAAGAAAAATTAAATGGTAAAGTATATGAGTACAAAGCTTTCTTTTACATATCATTCTGTAAGTATAACATCCATTACAACATAAGGTGACCTAACATGCATTTGTTGTGTTCTTGGAAGTTGTATACAAAGCAATAATTTGTAAAATAGATCATATTTTATTTAAGTCCACAATGATTTTTCCCCAAAATAAAGAATCCTAATAGTCAATTAATTGAATTACATGACTAAACTAATTAGATTGAAAACAGTACTTGAAGGAGAGTTATAAATTTCTGAATTAATAGTGAAATTACTTTTTCGAGTAAGATTGTATCTTCATTTAATCAAGGTATTTTGTAAATATTGACTAGCGGATCTCTTTCAGTAAGAGAATTCTTGAGTTATATGTATTTTATTTCCTGAATATAGGGTAATAGTGTACCTTACAGCTCTGTAGTGCTTTATAGAAATGGATTTGTTTCATAGCAGATTTTTTTTTCTTGTTTGGTAGGGCTGGTATTATTTTGCTTTATTGATGAGGAAACAGTTTTGAAGAGGATAAGTGATTTGCTCAAGATAATGTGGCAGAACTTCTGATTCAAGTATTCCCGCCCTTCCTCTGTCCCTCCTGGCCTCCTTTCCTTTTCTTGTTTCTTCCTTTTTTTTTAAAAATTATATCATAACTTGCATAAAGTACAATATACACATTTTAAATGTACAACTGGATGTCCCTTCTGGTTGATAACTTTCCTTC